CTCACACACTCACACACATGCTCACACTCACACACGTGCTCACACACACTCACACACTCACACACACACTAATAAAGGACAAGACCCAGGACAGCCAAGTGAAGGTAAACTTAGAGCAGGATCTGAGGGCTGACACTTGGGAACCCCTCTTTGTGGGGTCTGGGCACACCAACTCTTGCTCAATGACCTGTTCGCCACAAGGAACCCCAAGAGGCAGGGTTCTATGGAGTTTCACGAGAGGGGCTTGATTGACAGGAGGCCAGAGGATTAAACTCCACCTTCAAGCCACCCCCCTTGGAGGGGGACATTTGCGGTTGGCCTGGAAGGCCCAGCTATAGTCTTGGTCTTTCTGGTGATCAGCTCCCCTCCCAAAGCCATCTGAGGGCTGTATAAATCTCTATTAGCCTGACAAAGATATTTCTTCTCAGGAAATTCCAAGGGTTTTGACACTCTTGCTTAAGAACTACGGAAAAGACCAACCTATTATTTTCAAGCTGGGGATGAGGGGGGGTTTTCCTCTAGCTTAGCATGGCTCCAATATGGCAAATACTCTTATTTTTCTTTTTTCCGTATCTGCACACGTTCGAACAAGGAGGAATGTTGTATCCCAGGCATCTTAAACTCATAGCAGCCAGCCAGTTATCCTGGCATCTTCAAGCACTCTCCAAAGCAGCGGCAAGACAAAGCCAAGAAAACAAAACAAAACAAAACAAAAAACGTTCCCTGCCTTGCATGATGGCTCATGTCCCTGAACCTAGATCTCAGGAGGCTAAAACTGGAGGATTGCAGAGTGCTTGAAGCCAGTCTGGGTTACAGTGGGGGTGGGGGTGGGGGCTGGAGGGAGAGAGGTGGGGTGGGCAGGTCCCCCTGAGGCTTATACTGCTATTCTCTTCTGTGGGGGCACACTGGGCTGGGAGTCAGCTCCCCCCAGCTGCCCAGCTCTCCTCTCCCTGTGGAATGTGACCGGCTTCCTGAGAACCTTGCCTTCGCCTTGGTTCAAGGCTGCTGGTCAGAAGCCAGGGCCTTAGGACACAGGCCAGCTTTGCCAGCCATTGTTTTCTTTTGTTTAAAACCAAACAGATCCCAAGCCCCCACTTGGCAGGGCAGGCTTGGTTTCCTGAGGACACCGTGGCTGCCGCCAGGACTGACTTCGGAGGTGGTGGCTTGTGTGGACACTCTCACCCCGGGTGATTCCTAACGAGCGTCGTGGCCACGCCTGCTCTGAGAAACGCGTGCTGTGGTGCTCACTTGCTGGGGTGGAAGCTCTTGCATGTGGAGTCTGACTGCCTCACTATGAGAGCTAGCACTGAAGTTCCCACCTTCTGGCTCCCTGTCCCCACCTCCCCCTCCCCCCACGTCCCCAGACAGGGTTTCTCAGTGTAGCAGCTCTGGCTGTCCTGGAACTCTCAGTAGACCAGCCTGGCCTCAAACTCATGGAGAGCCGCCTGCCTCTGCCTTCCGAGTGCTGGGATTAAAGGCGTGCACCATCAACGCCAGCTTCCCTGTCGTTCTTCAGGCCTTAGCCAAGGCCCAGGGTGGAAACTCCTCTACAGTATTTCTTTTTTTTTTTTTTTTTTTTTTTTTGAGACAGGGTTTCCCTGTATTGCTTTGGAGGCTGTCCTGGAACTCGCTCGGTAGACCAGGCTGGTCTCGAACTCACAGAGATCCACCTACCTCTGCCTCCCGAGTGCTGGGATTAAAGGTGTGCACCATCAACGCCCGGCCCCTCTACAGTATTTCTAAGATTCAGTACTTGGGTGTATTGAGATGGTCCAGCCTGTGCTCTTTGGGTCCTATAGTTCTTGTATTCTCTCTTGGGAGTGGAATACCACAGGAATGAGGTTGAAACGGGAGTTAGCTCTCTGTAGGCAGTAAGAATGTGCTCGAAACAAAGGGTTTCATAGGCATTATCCCATTTACTCTTCACAGGGCTCTGGAGAAGAAAGGACACTATATTATCACCAACACCCCCTCCCCAGTGCCCCCCCCCCACATTTACAGATGAGGAAACTGAAGCCAGAAACATGGAACCCACCGTTCAAGGTCACAGAGACAAAATGGTAAAGCTAAGGTAGATTTTAAACTGAGAATTGCAAAATGCCAGAATTTCCATGAGTTGGCCGAGGTATGGCTCTAACACAGAGGTATCCATCCAGTGTCCTGCCACTTTAGCTCCCCCATGGGAGGGGATCGGCAGGATTCATAAACCTTCCTCGTATGTACGAACTTGGCCACAGCAGAGTATGGAGTGCTGAGCAACCAGTATTTGTTGTCACGACTGCCTTTGTCTCCTCTCACAGCCATTCCAGCCCTCACAACGTCATTTCCCGCTTTGACGGCTGCAGAGCGAGCCCCTTTCAACTGCCCCCTGGTGGCCGGAAGGTGCAAGGCAGCCTCTGAGGAACAGGGAAGGGTCGTAGTTAAGACATTTTGCAGGGCCCCAATGTCAGCATTGCTTCTCGCTACCTGGGAGATCGTGGACAGTATGCTCAACTCCTAATTGGGGAATGAATTTAATGGTGCTCACTGTAGTCCTGGGAGGACGCAGAGCTAGCTCTCAAAGTCCAGTTGGAGTATGGAAGGAGGGATAAACCCAGGCTGTTATTTCCTAGGGCGCAGCAGCCTCCAGGCTGTCTGTCTCCTTGATAGCCACTGCTACTCCCACAGGGTCCTCCTGCTTAGGTGTCGAGGTAGAGTTGCTGCAGCCCCTCCCACCTCCAGGCTCCTGCTGGTTGGCTTGTTGGGCTGGGCTTGCTGATGCTCCTACAGTTCTGCCCAGTGGGCTTCCTGCTGCCGCGTGGGCTGCCTAGATGGGGGACTGGCTGTGGAAATCTGCCCAGGGGTCAGCTTTTCTTCCTTACTACACAAGTGCGCGGTAGTTCTTAGTAACCCTGATCGACGTGAGAACATAGAGCCGGGTGTGTGTGTGTGTGTGTGTGTGTGTGTGTGTGTGTGTGTGTGTGTGTGTGTGTGTGTGTCTGCGCAGGTATGGGCTCCTGCATCTCTGTGGCTGATCAAACTGTTCCAGGGGCAGACATTCAAGATGTTGGAAGAAGTTCATGTAAGATTCCAAGTTTAGGGAAAGTTCTCATGAGGACTTTTGGAGCTGACCTGACACCTAGTGGGTGCAAATGGGAATGACGCCACCTTTGGGAGTTGGAAAAATCTGCCCATTTTGGGGAGGAAGGTTTGGGTTTGACCCTCTCTCTTTCACTTAACTTAGGGTGGAGTGTCAGGGTCAAGGGGTGACGAGGACTGGAACTGGTGATAGGGGTAGATTTTAGCTCTCTAGAATCTCCTACCATTCCCAGAAATCAGCCTGAAAGAAAATGAGATTTGTAGCGATCATGGCTCCCTTTTCAATCTTATACAAAGACTAAAGAAACGGAAGCTCTTGTTGATGCGTGGCCATGCTAATTTTCAGTTTTTCGTCACACATTTGGATGTTCCTCCCAGCCATACACAATCCCTAGACCCTATCAGTAAAGGTTTAAAAGATCAGGGACTTCAGAAGCCTCACCTTTCTTTGAGGGACAGTCCCAACGGCCACAGAACACCCTGGTATGGCTGCTGCTTTGCTTTGCTGGGACCCTGAGTTCTGTGTCATCTGTGGGACTGACCTGTCAGTCATCTGCTTGTCCAATTACTACTGTCAAAAAAAGAAAAAAAAGCTATGCACTGTCTGCCCTGATTGCTTCACAGTGGTGACTGGTGACATTATACTGGACACCTTTCAGCATGCCACAGCCTGGCCAACTGTGGTGACTTGAAAGAAAATTGCCCCCCCGAAGGGAATAGCACTACTAGGAGGTGTGGTCTTGTTGGAGTAGGTGTGGTCTTGCTGGAGTAGGTGTGGTCTTGCTGGAGGAAGTGTGTCACTGTGGAGGCGGGCTTTGAGGTCTCAGATATGTTCAAGATACCACTCAGTGTGACACTCAGACCACCCCCTGTTGCCTGCAAGATGTAGGACTCTCAGCTACACAACTGTCCACACACCTCCATGTCCCACCAACATGATAATGGGCTGAACCTCTGAACTGTTAGTCACCACAGTTAAATGTTTTCCTTTAGAAGAGTGGCTATGATCACGGTGTCTCTTCACAGCAATAGAAACCCTACTGGTTTTGTTAAATTCTTGCCTCTTGCCTTCCTTTTCTCTTCCTCTCCATTCTTTTATGTTCGTGTATGCAAGGGTAGGCGCGTGTGTGCTGCAATACTCTTAACTCCCGAGCCATCTCTCTGGCCTCTTTTGTTTGTTTGTTTGTTTGTTTTGAGACTGGCCTTGGACTCACTATGGAGGCTAAGGTAACCTCAGACTTATGGCAATAAAGTCTTCAGATTGCTTTTCTCAGGACTTAAACATTTTTATAGAGTGTGTGCGTGCATGCGTGCAACTCAGCGTGCATATACAGGCCAGAGGACAGCATTCAAACCTTTTCTCCTTCCACCATGGATTCCAGGATTGAGCTCAGATAACGGGCTTGTGCAGCAAGCCCCTGTGCCACCTGCGCCATCTTGTTGGTCCTCTCAAGGAATTTTAAAACTCGACACAGAATGACGGACTCTGAGACAGACTGAGAAGTTTCATCTTCGAGGTTCCATTAGTCAGGAGGACCGCTAAGGCTCCAAGGTCAAGTGACCAGGTTGTGCTGAGACGGGGCTGGACAAGCTGCCAAGTCTATTGGCCTGGTACCCTAGGGTCCTTCCACGTGTCCCCACCAAGTCCCTTCTCAAGGATCCTTGCTTCTTCAGCGCCTCTTTCTCTTACCACTGTCTTTTCAAACCTCAACTCGGTTTGCACTGACCATGACCACTGCTTTTGTGTCTTAACCTGTTCCCCATGGGCTCTTTTCCTTCTGTCTAGCAACCCTACATTCCCAGTTAATGTTTGTGGCTATAAAGGAGACCACCTAGACCGTGTCCCCTTGATGTCACTAAACCCTGAGTGTTCCCCCACCCCAGTGAAGGACACAGCATCAGCAACACAGAGAGAGATTCCCAGAACCACCATGAGCAGCACAGAGGCGCCCAGACCAAGCCAGATTTTATTTGCTCGCACTTAGCTCTGATCACGGCATCTATGCATCTGACCTTTGATTGAATCTCCTCATAGACACCACAACTTCTCTTGTTGGAGCTTCTCTCCAGACCTGATTGGCTGTTGTGACTTCCGGAAAACTGTTGTGAAGGGTAAGAGAATAAGGGGGAATGCTGGACTGGGGAGGTGGTAAGGTGCCTGCCACACAAGCATGAGGACCTGAGTTCACATCCCCGATACCTACCTAAAAGTCTGTGTGATGGTGTCCTAGTGCTAGGGCTGGGGTAGGAAGCTCACCGGCCAGTCCCTCTAGCCAATCAGTGAGCTCCATGTTCAGTGAGAGACGCTGTTTCAAAAATTAAGGTGGAGAGCAGTAGATAGATAAAGTTGCCAACCCTCTGGCCTACACACACACACACACACACACACACACACACACACACACACACACACACACACACACCCCGAATGGCCAGTGAGATGGCTTAGCAGCCAACAGCCCTTGCCCAGAAGCACAGAAACTTGAATTTGGATCCCAGAAGCTATGTCATGGAAGTGGTGAACTTCCTCCCACAAGTTGTCCTTGACCTCTGTAATGGAAATGTGGCATGTGTCTACACATCTTGTCAGACCTAGCTGAAGCACTGCCCAAATGATGCCTCCCTTGGTACCCGGCATAGCCCCCTAGTCGCTCCTGCCCTCACCTTTGAGGCCTGAACATTGTCGCTTTGTCATGTGGGCTGGAGGTCCTCAGGCACAGGTCCCACTGTCTTGCTCAAGTCTTGCTATGCAAGTGAGCTGAGGATGAAAGGGGGGTGACCCTTGTTGCCTGACTGTGGGATCTGGGGCGGGGTCTCTGGTATACTGTAATAGTATACTCTGATATGCTAGGATATAGTTTCCTCCACGTCATAACGCAGATGTCGGGATTCCAGGGCTGACGCCCCTCCCACTAGGGCCCTTTGGCAAGGGGGGGGGGGAGGACTGAGGGCCGTGCTCACCTGAAGTCCACCACACCCTTCTTCTCATCCAACTTCTTTAGGAGCTCCCTGACCTGGTACCGGTTGATGGGGACCTTGTTTTGCTGAGAAGGCGATGTAACATGTTATGGAGCCCTGTGATCCCTCGCACCCAGTGACCCCCATATGTCTCAGTCTTGGGTTCACTGATGGCAGCTAAGGGCTCACAGGTGGCTGCACCTAACACAGGAAAGGACTGGAGGCAGTTGCTTTCCACGGCCTGGCCTTGCCTCCAGATGACCTCCCACTTCCAGGGAGTGACAAGGGCTGAGGATCCAGGAGCAATGAGTGGTTTGGTGAGGTGGACAGGAGCTGCACGCCTCACCATGTGAAGGCCATGCTTGTTCCCAGATACCTAGTCCTGACCAGCCCTCACCAGCCCTCTTGCCTTATGGACCTGGGTACTAAGAATCCACACTTCCTCAGGCACCTAGACCCAAGGCCTTCCCAGGATGCTGTGTGAATCAATCCCTTCATGCATACATTTCAGAGGACCTCCATTCCATTCAATACATCAGTAAGAGGGACTGTGGGGGTTCGGTGAGCTGGGAAGGTTGAAGGTAGGGAGTGGGAGCTACGGGGTAATGGTCACTTCTCCTCTTCTCACTTTTCATCATCATAGGAGCCAAACACAACAGAGGAAAAGACCTCTGAGATGGACACACGCATCTGGGGTAGGGAGTGACATTGAGCCACACGACAGATTTGGGCAGGGGATTGAGGGAGGTGCTGAGCCGGGCGGTGCCCACGACCAATCTTATAGGGCGGTACGAAATGCAAGCATATACCTGCCTGGCCACCCTACCTTGCTACCCCCACTACCCAGAGTCTCCAGGAATCAGCACACCTGTACCATGGCTTTCCGGAAGTCCCCCACAGACATTGTCATTGATCCCGTTGGATTCAAGCTCTTGAAGAACTCCAAGACTGAGATCTTCTGTTGGTCTGTATAGTTCTGAGAGGGGCAGGAGGTGCCAGGAGCAAACACTTGGCTTTATTATGGCTATCCCACCTCCCTCCTCACCCCCCAAACAGTGGTCCGCACTCCTGGACCCAGAAATCCCTGGGGATCAGGGAAGGCAACTCCAGCTTGAGGCATCTGTACTCTAGCCACTGCTCTAGAGGCAGCACAGGCAAAGGCGTGACGGCACCTGTTTGTCTAGTTCCCGGCAACCTCATCCCAACCCCACAGAGGCACCGATCATTCCGTCCACTCCTTGACTTCACTGAGGGACACCAGAGCTGCTAGCAGCCCCTAGTGTCCCGGGAGCATGGATGGTGAGCAGATCTAAGCCTGTAATCTGGCTTTGAAATGGCCTCCACTAACGCTCTCAAAGTTGGTGCTCTGTGGATGGTGGGTGGGGCTTCTCTCGGCTAAGAGATCACACAACTGCTACGTGAAGGTTGGACAGGCTCTAGGCAGCCCCCGGGGTTCTCACAGTTCCCCACAAATGTCCACATGGAGAAGGGCTTTGCTAGGAAGCCTTCAAGGCAGTGTTTTTATCTGTAACCTCTCATGTCACTCTCCATTGTTAAAAAGATCACCCATCAGTCTGGGGGATTCATACCACTCCCAGAGCTCTGCAGTTCTGACGGCTCCCTAGGCCAGATGGAGTCAAACCCAACTCAAGGTCTGAAATCTGAGGGAACCACCCACATCTAGCTCAGCCTTCCTGGCCAGCTTTGCCTTCCAGGCTGCATTCTGAGTCCGGAGTCCCAGGATTCCTCAGCTGAACAGATGTGGTTATTGCCCTGGTTCCCCCCAGAGGCTGCCTGCATTCACCATGTGTAAACTCTCCTTTCTCCGCCGGTAGAGACCCTCTTGCTGGAACCATCATCCATGCTCCCCCCAACCTCCCTGTTTTTCCAGGGCCTTCTCAGCCCCACCTCTGCCAGGAAGTCCTTCTTCTCATCCTGTGGTGTCCTTATTTTGGATTCTGATGAAGTTTGTGGCCATTGTCACTTTTGTAATATTTCTCCTGTGGCTTATTCTTTCGGTCATTATAGAATCCATCCCATCTTTCCAGTCACATGGTCCCCTCTTTCCAAACGCAGTGTATGTACACATATGTCTTACTTGGTCTCTACCTGAAGATTATTTTCCCCTACTTTTTTCTTTGTGGTGCTGGGGATTGAACCTGGGATGTCACACACATTAAACAAATGCACTACCACCGAGCTGCACACTCAGTTAGCCCTCTTTTTACTTAGTATTTTGAGACAGGGTCTTGTTAAGTTGCCCCGGCTGGACTTGAGCCTACTCTGTAGCCCATGCTGCAGGTACCCTGAATATTGTGATCACAGTTATGCACCATCACTTGAGGTTTATACTCAAATTTAAATCTATCTGTCTGTCTGTCTGTCTGTCTATCTATCTATCTATCTATCTATCTATCTATCTATCTATCTATCTATCTATCTATCGCTGTTCCTGAGATCCAGTGACATCTGGCTAGGCGTCTTTAGCTCCTGTTCATACCATTCTCCATTTCTCTTCCTTCCTTCCTTCCTTCCTTCCTTCCTTCCTTCCTTCCTTCCTTCCTTCCTTCCCTCCCTCCCTCCTTGTCTCTCTTCCTCTCTTCCTCCCTCCCTCCTTCCTTCCTTGAGATAGGATTACTCCTTATAGCCTGATTGGAACTCACTCTGTAGACCAGGCTGGACTCGAACTCAGAGACCCCCCAGCTTCTGCCTCCCGAGTGCTGGGATTAAAGGTGTGCAACATCACCATCTAGCTTGGCACTCTCCATTTCTGTATTCCCTTAAAACAAGGGGTGGGGCCGGGTGACACACGCCATTAAATCCAGTACTCGGGAGGCAGAGGCAGGCGGATCTCTGTGAGTTGGAGGCCAGCCTGGTCTACAGAGCTACACAGAGAAACCCTGTCAAAAAAGAAAAATAAAAAAGCAAATAAGACAAGGGGTGGACCCTCGTTCTGCATCCAGCTTCCCCTGTAGACCCATCTTCCCCTGTAGACCCATCTTCCCCTGTAGACCCATCTTCCCCTGTAGACCCATCTTCCCCTGTAGACCCATCTTCCCCTGTAGACCCATCTTCCCCTGTAGACCCATCTTCCCCTGTAGACCCATCTTCCCCTGTAGACCCATCTTCCCCTGTAGACCCATCTTCCCCTGTAGACCCATCTTCCCCTGTAGACCCATCTTCCCCTGTAGACCCATCTTCCCCTGTAGACCCAGCTTCCCCTGTAGACCCATCTTCCCCTGTAGACCCATCTTCCCCTGTAGACCCATCTTCCCCTGTAGACCCATCTTCCCCTGTAGACCCATCTTCCCCTGTAGACCCAGCTTCCCCTGTAGACCCATCTTCCCCTGTAGACCCATCTTCCCCTGTAGACCCATCTTCCCCTGTAGACCCATCTTCCCCTGTAGACCCATCTTCCCCTGTAGACCCAGCTTCCCCTGTAGACCCAGCTTCCCCTGTAGACCCATCTTCCCCTGTAGACCCAGCTTCCCCTGTAGACCCATCTTCCCCTGTAGACCCATCTTCCCCTGTAGACCCAGCTTCCCCTGTAGACCCATCTTCCCCTGTAGACCCATCTTCCCCTGTAGACCCATCTTCCCCTGTAGACCCATCTTCCCCTGTAGACCCATCTTCCCCTGTAGACCCATCTTCCCCTGTAGACCCATCTTCCCCTGTAGACCCATCTTCCCCTGTAGACCCATCTTCCCCTGTAGACCCAGCTTCCCCTGTAGACCCAGCTTCCCCTGTAGACCCATCTTCCCCTGTAGACCCAGCTTCCCCTGTAGACCCATCTTCCCCTGTAGACCCATCTTCCCCTGTAGACCCATCTTCCCCTGTAGACCCATCTTCCCCTGTAGACCCATCTTCCCCTGTAGACCCATCTTCCCCTGTAGACCCATCTTCCCCTGTAGACCCATCTTCCCCTGTAGACCCATCTTCCCCTGTAGACCCATCTTCCCCTGTAGACCCATCTTCCCCTGTAGACCCATCTTCCCCTGTAGACCCAGCTTCCCCTGTAGACCCATCTTCCCCTGTAGACCCATCTTCCCCTGTAGACCCATCTTCCCCTGTAGACCCATCTTCCCCTGTAGACCCATCTTCCCCTGTAGACCCATCTTCCCCTGTAGACCCATCTTCCCCTGTAGACCCATCTTCCCCTGTAGACCCATCTTCCCCTGTAGACCCAGCTTCCCCTGTAGACCCAGCTTCCCCTGTAGACCCATCTTCCCCTGTAGACCCAGCTTCCCCTGTAGACCCATCTTCCCCTGTAGACCCATCTTCCCCTGTAGACCCATCTTCCCCTGTAGACCCATCTTCCCCTGTAGACCCATCTTCCCCCTCGTAGACCCATCTTCCCCTGTAGACCCATCTTCCCCTGTAGACCCATCTTCCCCTGTAGACCCATCTTCCCCTGTAGACCCATCTTCCCCTGTAGACCCATCTTCCCCTGTAGACCCATCTTCCCCTGTAGACCCATCTTCCCCTGTAGACCCATCTTCCCCTGTAGACCCATCTTCCCCTGTAGACCCATCTTCCCCTGTAGACCCATCTTCCCCTGTAGACCCATCTTCCCCTGTAGACCCATCTTCCCCTGTAGACCCAGCTTCCCCTGTAGACCCATCTTCCCCTGTAGACCCATCTTCCCCTGTAGACCCATCTTCCCCTGTAGACCCATCTTCCCCTGTAGACCCATCTTCCCCTGTAGACCCATCTTCCCCTGTAGACCCATCTTCCCCTGTAGACCCATCTTCCCCTGTAGACCCATCTTCCCCTGTAGACCCATCTTCCCCTGTAGACCCATCTTCCCCTGTAGACCCATCTTCCCCTGTAGACCCATCTTCCCCTGTAGACCCATCTTCCCCTGTAGACCCATCTTCCCCTGTAGACCCAGCTTCCCCTGTAGACCCATCTTCCCCTGGTCCCTTTGCAGTCTTTTTCTTCCTAAACAAACCTGATGCCTTTTGCCCTCCAGAACTTTGCACATAATTTCCACATAAGACCTTTTTAGATTTAGTTTTGGAAAGCGAGGCACAGAGCAGATCAATCAGAAGCCAGAAGTAGCCTGTGGGGCTCATACCCACAGAAACTGCGTTTGCACAGCACCCCCAGGTGGCAGTCAGCAGAAGTGCAGCCACCCCTGGGAGCAGACCTTTCAGCAAGCATCAAGTCTCTTGGTTTTTGTTTGTTTGTTTTGTTTTTCTGAGACAGGATTTTTCTGTGGCTTTGGACTGTTCTGTAACTAGCTCTGTAGACCAGGCTGGTCTTGAACTCACAGAGATCCACCTGCCTCTGCCTCCCAAGTGCTGGGATTAAATGCATGCACCACCACAGCCTGGCAAGTCTCTTGATTTTTAAAATTTCTCAATTATACCTACTTCTTGTGATTTTTCTGGAGACAAACTAAGAGGGGACTTTCCCAGTGTGAGTCCAGAAATAAAGGACTCTGCTAAGGGTGGGGTGGCTCACTTGGCATCCAGTCTCAGAAAGAAGCTGCAAACCCTGGGAGTTTATTATGTCCAGGCATTGCTTGGAGCTCCTCACACCTGTTAAGTAACTCAGTCTTCTCATCTGTCCCCATTTTACAGGTGAAAAGACTGAGGCACAGAAGGCAGAAGTAAAAGGCAGGTCTCCGGTAGCGGACTCCACCCGGTGCCTCCACCCCTTCTCCCCCACCAGATCTCAGCTCTTCTCTCTTTCGGGGTGAGAAGCAGTATCCAGTAACCCAATATCCAAGGACAATATTCTAGGTCACCTTTGCAAGGAACCTTACTAGAAAGGATCATATAGACACTCAGACACAGCCAGTGCTGGGTGAGTATTTGGGGCCATGTGGCAGTTTTCTCCAGAGTTCTCTGAGGCTGGGGAGGGGGAGACTCACCTGGATCAGTTTCATGGGATTGGTACACAGAGAGATGGTTTTCTTGCTGGAGAGACCCTGCAATCCCTTGTATATCACGTCCAACTGAGGGTGGATGGCACAGACCCCATCCAGGACTCTTACAAACTGCTCTGTTACCAGAACGTTCTGCAGCAGGGAAAGAGGGGCCACGGTGGAGAAGCCGTCATTGTGCATGTGCCAGCGGACAGGAGTACCCTTCCCTCCCACCCAAGCCAGGTTCTGGTTTGTTCTGCTTCTGAATTGGCGTGTGTTCTTGTGTTTTCTAGCTCGTGACTGACTTGTGTCATGGGTTGCTTTTTGAGGCAGGGTCTCATTCTGTAATGCAATATGGCCTTGGATGTCACCCAGGCTGGCCTTAGACTCATGGTGGTTCTCCTGTCTCCATCTCCTAAGTGCTGGGATTACTGGCATGTGCCACTATGGCCAGTTTTATGGGGTGGTAGGCGTGGAATCCAAGACTTTGTGCATGCTAGACAGGCAGTCTAGCAAACTTAGCTACATCCTCAGGGCCTTTCTGGTGTTATGGAGCTTGTGACTTGATTTGTAAGTTTCCCATATACGGTCTTACTCTGTGGAACTGGACTAGCCTTGAACTCACTATGGAGCATGGGCTGGCTTTGAACTCATGGTGATTGTTCTGCCTTAGCCTCCTGAGCACTGGGATTATAGGTATGTGTCACTATACCCAGAGGAGATTAGTGATTTATTTATGTGCATTGGTGTTTGTCTATACGTGTATCTGTATAAGGATGTTGGATCCCCTAGAACTGGAGTTACAGTTGTGACTGCTGTGTGGGTGCTGGGAATTGAACCTAGAACCTCTGGAAGAGCAGTCAGTGCTCTTAACCACTGAACCATATCTCCAGCTGCCAGATCTAGGAGATTTTAGTTAGATGTTTTCATTGTGTTCTGGTGGCTTGTTTGTCATACACTATTGACTCAGCTCTTCTCTGAGGCGGTATCTTTAAGTGGTTACATTTGATGGGCAGATATCAGAGATTGGTCTATACACAGATGTCTGGCCTGCCCACATCTACATGAATGTTGTTCTTCAGAACAGGCACCTGGGATTCCCGAGGCCAACTATCCTGCTATGGCTTATAGCAAACTAGAAACTCCTCTTTTGGAAGAAGTTGGAGCTGGCTTCCAGGACATGGAGAGGGTATGTCGTTTGGAAGAACGGTCTAGTCTACTCTCCATCAGCTTGACCACCCTCATCTTCCTGTGGGTGTGGTTTTGAGTGCTTTTTGCATTTTCAAAGGGCTGAACTTGTCTTAAGAGCTCAAGTTTTGCAGATACTCTGGTCCTAGGAGCATTTGCAAAGTAGGAATTCCAGTACATTTAGAGTCATGGAATCATCACTGACAAGAGGGTGGGACCAGGACCGTTGGTCTCCAGGGTGACAGTATGAGTAGTGATGGAATCTTTCAAAGGTAGAGCCTAGTGGGAGGAGATTGGGTCACTGGGGACACTGCCCTCACAGGAACAGATGTCATGCTCAGGAGCCTGTTAGTTCAAGAAGGAAATGAGACGGAGTCTCCAGCTTCCTGTCTCTCCAGGCAGCGTTCTTTCCTTTCCCTATGCAAGACCACTATGATGCCATCTGCTGACCAAGAGACCCATCACAGAGATGGTGCCATGGTACTGGGTCATTCGGCTTCTAGAGTTATGAACTATATAACCATCCCTTTTTTTTTTAAATAACATCCTGGCATCAATCAAAATTCCATCACAGCTATCAGGAAAATACTAGCAGGCTAACTCAGTCTATTGGCTCTAGCAGGCCTGTTTAATAGCAGTTAAGCCATGGCTTCTCTCTCCTCATTGGAGTTTTGTCAGGGTAGAGTACCACAGTAACAGAAATCAAACTATACAACGCCCTCCAAGGGTGCTTGAAGTCCTTTCTGTTTGGCTTTTGTTTTTTGAGACAGGGTCTCTCTGTGTAGCTCTAGCTGTCCTGGAACTCACTCTGAAGACCAGGCTGGCTTTGAACTCACAGAGATCCACCTGTCTCTGCTTCCAAAACGCTAGAAATAAAGGCGTGCATCACCGTACCAAGTGGGTTTGAAGTCTTAACTCTGTAGAGGTGACGTCATTTGGAAATAGGGTCTTCGCAAGAGACAATCAAGTTAAAATGAAGTCATTAGGGTGGGCCCTGACATAATACGATGAAATCCTTATGAAAAGGAAAAATGGGTTTTGCATAGAGATGGACACGCTCTCAAGGAAAATGCCATGAGAAGCTGAAGGAACCTAGACACTCCACACCTAGATCTTGCCTTTCTGGTCTCCAGAGCTGAGAGGCAATGAATTCTTGCTATTTGAATCACCTGATTTGTGGTACTTCAGTACAGCCACATGGAAATGAACACAGTACTCTACCAACCTCTTTAGAGTGGCATTTGAGGAGCAAGCATCCTAAAATCATTTTGGGACAAAAAGCACCAGTGGTCAAAAGTATAGGACGTTGTTAGCTGCTATCCCTGTGACGATGTGGGCAATGATGTGGGATAATGCTCTTGTTCACTGTAAAGATTTGTCACTCGTATTGGTTTAATAAAATGCTGATTGGCCAGTAGCCAGGCAGGAAGTCTAGATGGGGTGACCAGACTAGGAGATTTCTGGGAAGAGGAAAGGCCAGCTAGACACAGAGGAACCAAGATGAGAATGCCTTACTGAGGAAAGGTACCAAGCCCCGTGGCTAAACATAGATAAGAATTATGGATTAATTTAAGTTGTAAAAGCTTGTTAATAATAAGCCTGAGCAATAGGCCAAACAATTTATAATTGTTATAACTGTTTATTTGGGACTGAATGGCTGCAGCATGGGACAGGTCAGAAGCCTCCATCTACAGGGCAAGTCCCTGACAGAAGGCTAGTTGGTCTGCCTTCCTCCTTCACAAAAGGATCACCTCTGATTGCAGCTCTGGTCAGAATAGGCTACAAGTTGTGAAACAAGAACACATTTGTGAGGCGGGTCCTCAAATTCCTGAGATTCTGGCTGGGTATGTGGTTCACACCTTTAAGCCCAGCACTCTGGGAGGCAGAGGCAGTCAGATTTCTGTGAGTTTGAGGCCAGTCTGGTCTATATAATAGCAAGTTTCAGGCCAGTCAGGGCTGAAAAAAATCCTGGGATTCTGGAACATTCTGAGACCTAGTCCATTTATCAGTGAACTTGGTGGTGCACAAATTCTCTTCTGGAGTCCCCCCATTCCCCACGCCTCTCTTTTCGGCTTTTCCTCATTAATACTCCTAGGCGCTCATATCCTGGGTTCCCAGGATCGAGTACATTATTTCAAATGGTGGTGATGTTGACTGAAAGGCTACTTCCATCACTTAGCCCCTTGCCTTTTGTGTGTGAGGGACACAGCTGGTGGCACTGGTTATAGAATGGTAACTGGCTTGTGCCGGGAGGAAATGGCTGGTATTTGATCACTTACAGAGATGTCGAGCTCCTCCATCTTGGATTTGGGGTTTCTCTTGATGGACAGGATAAGAAAAACTGCCCCCTCCATACTCATAGGGTTCAGGAAAAGCTGTGGGAAAAGGGCACAGCAGGAGGAGGTGGTTTTAGAGTGCAACTTCTATTTCCCCATGGAATCACAACCTCCATGTTGTGATTCCTAGACTTCTCCATCTACTCCTGTCTGTTCGACCATACATCCTTCCATCTTCCCACCCGTTACTCAGTACCCATTTATGTATTCACTTACTCTACCCATCCATAACCCATAAGTCTGTCCCTTTGTCCATCTATCACCCACCCATCCATCTACTCATCAATTCACCTTGCTTTCTATCCATCTATGAATACATTCACTAATTTGTATCACTATCCATTCATTCATCTACCTTCCCACTCATCAGTCTCTCTCATCCATCCATCCATCCATCCATCCATCCATCCATCCATCCATCCATCCATCCAGTCTTACCACCCATCTATCCACCAACCTACTCGTCAATCCATATCACCCGCCACCCACTCAACACATCCATCCTCCGACAAATATTTATCAAGGCCTGCTGTGTATTAGCCAGTGAGCTAAGCCCAGACAGACATAGCAAAGGCTCTGTCTTCAGATAAAATTGCTCTAGTCAGAGGAGACAGGTAAAAAAATAAATGGCATCAGTGACAGAGGAACATGTACATACTGTAGGAACAAAGAAAGGAGGGTCCATCATGGGTAGGGGACCCTTGAGATATGGGGAATTAATCATATCTTAAGAAGAGCAGTAGCAGAGTGGGGGAAAGATTTTCCGAAAAAGAAAAGAGCAGACAAGGGTGAAGGTGTGCTGGAGGGAAGAGCATGGGGGGTGGAGTTGGACAATAGCACCTTTTCTGTAAGCGGGAGCAGAGAGGAGGCAACAGAGCTAGGAAAGGCCATGGCATGGTGGACCTTGTGGGCTTACGTTATAATTGCAAGGGTGATGAGAGCCACTGAAGCATGGATGGAGATCAGGAAGAGGGAGCATGTAGGCAGATGGCCTTGGGTTTGACTTCTTGGCCTCTTGGCACTTGTCACCATGGAGGGTCTATCCCAAGTGTCCCAACTTAATAATCCAGCCAAAGCACCCAGAAGGTGCCCAGTGCAGACACATGGTATATGAATGGTGCCACTTCGGTGGTTATATTATGAGGGAGGCCATGGGTTTTATTGAGCATTTATTGTGCCAGTTTCTCAGACTCATGTTCTCTGGTGAGAAAAAACAGGCGCTTCTGCATCTTGGAACCTGAACTTTGTGGGACTCATTTCCCAAGGACATTTCTTAGTTTCCCAGGACTGGGGGAGGCATAAGTGTGAAGAATAGTAGATACTTTCTTCAGGAATTTCCTTTTCTACTTTTATTTAAAACACTACAAAATGATTTTCCTGTGTGTGTGTGTGTGTGGTGTGTGTGTGTGTGTGTGTGTAAATGTGTGCCATGGTGTACACGCGGAGGTCAGAGGACAATTTGCAGGAGTCTTTTTCTTTTTTCCTTCCAACATGTGGTTCTGGGGATTGAACTCAGGTCATTAGGTTTGGCAGCTGGTGCCTTTACACACTGAGCCATCTTGCTAGCCTGACATATTAGTCAATGGAACCTTTAGACAGGTTCAGGTTCTTACAGAAATCCTTGGTTCCACCGGGCCTTCAGGCTGAGTCACTCACAGCCTGGGCTATCTCTCTGAATTGAGTAGTCCCAATCCACCTCACCTGGAATTTTCAGTTCTCCTCCTAGATGTCCAGCCTGGTTCTATTGGCCATTATTATAACCCTCTGGCAGAATCTGGTTTCTTCTTGTCCCTGAACAGCACCTCAGACACCAGGCTCATCCTGTTTTCTCACACCCATCCCTCCTCCATCAATAAGGATCCCAACACCTGCTGTGCCTCCATCATCCTCTTGGGGAAGTTAGAAAGGCTTTAGAAAGCCAGATACAAGTGGCCACCCTCTTCACAGTGATGTGGTCTGAGTGAGTCACTTAGCCTCTGTTTTCCCATCTGAAAAGTAGAGCTGGCAGAGACACCTGGACAATGACTGATGAATTATTGCATCATTAGATTCAGGGCATGGCTTGAAAGAGCTCAGAAAAAGGATCTTGGAATAGATGTCCTCTTGCATCTGTTTTCAAGCTATCCAATGGCTCATGTCATAATTAGTCTCCACAAGTCTCTTACAATGAGATATTAATTCAGCTATCCATTTGCTTACTACAGATTCACTGTGTGTCTACTACCATGGGGTAATAGGGGTATGATTATGGCCAAAACTGAGCACCCTTGCCCATAGGAAGATTTCACATTCAAGTGAGAGCATAGATAGGAATCACAGTATAGAGCTCTGCAGGGAGGGAGAACAGAGTGCTGGCAGATGTCCCCTAATTCAGGAGGTCACCTTTGTGTGCTATGCTCTGCAGCAGAGCAGACATGAAGCAGACATGGGCAGTGCTAAGGACCAGAAGAGGAACCAGGAGCCAGGGAGAGCCATGAAGAGCAGGGGTGCAAAGACTCATGGGAATCAGAGGACTGCACTGGAATGCAAGAAATCCCTGGGATCTAGGAATAGTGTCACTAAAACATAGTATGGCCTTAGTGTGAAGAAAATCCCAAAAGAGACACAGATGGTGTAAGGGAAGACCTGTGTAGAAGCACATGTGTCACCGGAGAGCAGAGGCAGCTCTGGGTCTATAGCAAGGCCACCAAACATGTGCACATGGAAGCACAGTGTGTGTGTGTGTGTGTGTGTGTGTGTGTGTGTGTGTGTGTGTGTGTATGTGAGAGAGAGAGAGAGAGAGAGAGAGAGATGATTCTCTCCAGTTACCCTACTTCCTTGCAACACAGATGGATCACATACATACATACATACATACATACATACATACATACATACATACGTGTATATACACATACACACGCACATTCATGGACATACACTCATGGACACATAGGCAGACACACACAGTATGTAAACACACGTGCCTTTGGAGGGGATTGCTGAGAGAATGGGATGCCTCTAGATGTTGCTGCTTAAAATAAGAATGCTTTCTAACATTTGGGAAGGACAGTGTTATTTCTTCAGACACACACGGCATGTAAACACAGACATACATATGAAGGCACCAGCTGAGTGAGTCTACCTTCAGCACTTGGAGGCTCTCATTGTATTCTAGTCCCTTGCTGATTCTGGAGGCTCCCTCGTTGGTGATGCCATTTCTACTGACATCTATGTAGACCAGACAGCTGTTGAGTTTGAGGGTATCCCCCAGGGCCAGAGCTCCTTCATTCCCAAAGCCATTCATGGAGACATCCAATTTCTTCAGGGTCACGTTAGACTCCAGGGGAGAGGAACAGCACTAGCATCAAGGTGGGGTGAGACTTACCCAGGAAAATGCCTTGGCTGCCAGCCCAGCCCCAACCCTCGCCCTCACCCTCATCCTAACTGATCTAAGCCTTATCTTTACCCCTAATGCACCCCACCCTTATCATCTTCCCCCACAACTCTTAACCCATCCCAGCCTAACCCTCCTTCTCCCATTCCCCTTTCTTCCCTCCCCCCAGAGCTCAGTGGTTTTCTGTAGAGACAGATCTACACAGCTATTCCTGTTCCCTACAGACAGCGCTCATTCTCAAGTCCTCTTGAGATTCATTCCTTTGAGGATCTGTCTCTCTGCTCTTTAGTTAAAGCACCCCCTGAAAGCATCCCTAAAGTTGGTACTCAGACCTCAGCAGGGAGGATTTATAAAATAGAAGTGCACATCCCAGAATCATGGAAGGAGACCCAGAAACTCCAAAGACACTTGGTGAGAGCTCTGTACACCCAAATCTGTGGTGCCCTCCAGGAAGCAGTTCAGCTCCCCTGTTAGAGCGTGACTTACCCGGAGACCGTTACACAGGGCCACAGCTGCCCGAAAGTGGAAGTGATTCCAGCTCAGGTTCAGCGACTGGAGCCCTACATTGAGGGCTTGGAGGGACAGAGACTCAGATCAGCATCTCCCAAGACCCAGCCGCAGACCCACAGCGCTGGACATCGGTTTTGGGAGCTAGAACACTCAGGTGACAATTTTTTGGCTTCCATGTGGGTGCTGGGAATGGAACCCAGGTCTTCTGGAAGAGCAGTCAGTGCTCTTAACCACTAAGTCATCTCTCTAGTCACCCCACCTCTTTTTTTTTTTTAATTTAAAAGACAGGGTCTCATTGTGTAGCCCTGGTTGGCCTGGAATTCACAGAGATTCATCTATGCCTCCCAAGTGCTGGGATTAAAGCTGTGTGCCACCATGCCTGGCCAGGTTACTTAGACACAAGATTGAAAGATGATCCTTAATTCTGAGAAAGATGACTTAAAACAGTCCGACTCTTTTGTCAAAGAGGTCAAGTGGCATGATCTAGCTGGCCACAGATGCTCTCCTATGAAGAGTGTACACTCTGAGACACCACCTAAGAAAACAACCCAGGACGTGGAAGGGCTCCATGACAGATGCTTACCCGGATGTCACAAATACAGTGATGTAATGTATATCTTTAAGTGCCCATCTGGGACCCTGAGGGGTGTGACACAATTGACAGAGTGCTTGTCTAGCATGTATGTGGCCTTTGGTTTGATCCCCAGAACCACATAAACTGGGCTTGGTGGGGTATGCCTGCCATCTTAGCACTTAGAAGATAGAGTCAGGAAAATCAGAAATTCAAGGTCATCCTCAAATATATGGTAACTTTTAGGCCAACTTGGATTAAATAAGATGAGAGAGAAGCCGGGCGTTGGTGGCACAGGCCTTTAATCCCAGCACTCAGGAGGCAGAGGCAGGCGGATCTCTGTGAGTTCGAGGCCAGCCTGGTCTACAGAGCGAGTTCCAGGACAGCCTCCAAAGCCACAGAGAAACCCTGTCTGGAAAAACCAAAAAAAAAAAAAAAAGATGAGAGAGAGACAGAGACACAGAGAGAGACAGAGAGAGACAGAGACACAGACACAGAGAGAGACAGAGACACAGAGAGACACAGAGAGAGACAGAGACACAGAGAGACACAGAGAGAGACAGAGACTGGGTCTTGAGGACACAATTATCCAAAGATGGACGTTATTGTCACGGGTTGAGGTTTGCACAACAAACACACTTTTAAAATTTATTTGTGGTTTAGACAGGGTCTCAGTGCATATATAGCCATTATTGGCCTAAAATTGGATATGTAATTGTGGTGCTCTTCTTGCCTCTGCCTCCTGAGTGCTGGGATTACACACGTGCATCATGATGCCCAGCTCATACCATGAGGGTGCAGGCAGTTGATCTTGGGTTCCCTGCAAGAGCAAGTGTTCTCAACCTCAAGGTCTGCTCTCCAGCCTCAACTCACAGTTGTCTAGTATCAGTCCCCCAAGCAGGCTGATACCACCATGCCTAGAGATCTACAAAAGTCAGAACCCTTTTTTGACAGGGTCTGTAACCCCCAAGCTGGCTTGGAACTCACTGTGTAGAACAAGCCTTAACCTCTTGAGGCTCCTCTTGACTCAGCCTCTAGAGTACCTGCTGTGGAATATTAAAGATGTGTCACATTCTTCTACACGGTGGGATATTTATTTAATGATGCAAAGATGTGTTGCATTCTTTTATGATGCATCTGTTTAACTCTGTGAAGCTGTGTTCCTTTGCCTGCCTAAAATACCTGATTGATTTTAGTAAAGAGCTGAATGGCCAATAGTTAGGCAGGAGAGGGGTAGGCGGGGCTTGCAGAGAGAATAAATAGGAGGAGAAATCTAAGCTTGAGAGAAACAAAAGATCAAGCAGGGAGGAAAAGGGGACAGGAGAATGCCAGGGGCCAGCCGCCTAGAAGACAACCAGGCATGAAGTAAGAAAGAAAGAAAGGAATATAGAATAGAGAAAGGCAAAAGCCCACAGACAAAAGGAAGAGAGGATGATTTAAGAAAAGCTGGCTAGAAACAAGTCAAACTAAGGCCAGGCATTTGTAAGTAAGAATAAGTCTCAGTGTATTTATTTGGGAGCTGGGTGGTGGCTCCCTAAAGAGCAAAGAGAAAAAAAAAGAACCAGCCACAAGTGCCCGGCCTACAGGGGCTGGTGCATCCAATCTTTGCATTTACGCCAATGCTGTGGGCGCTCACTCAATTGTTGCTTGCTTCACTCCCAAGTTGCTCTTGGTTGCCAGTTGTGGTAGTGCATACCAGAGGTGGAGACAGGAAGACTAGGAGTTCAAAGCTAGCCCCGGCTATATGAAATCTTGTCTCATCAAACAAACAAGTAAAACAAACAGTACTCCAAATTTAAACAAAACAGAGCTAGGTGTAGTGGCACAGCTTCCAATGTTTGGGAAGGTGGAGACAGGCATTCCTTTTGGAGTTCAAGGACAGCCTGATCTACACAGCTTGTTCCAGGACAGCCAGGGCTACATAGAGAGACCCTGTTTCAAAAATCAAAATAAAAAAATTTCTCAAAAGATCATCTTTGTCATCTTATCATGCATATGTTTCAAATAAATTTTTCTAAAATAAGTGAATTGTCTTAGATGCAGTTTATGTTACCCCTGTGATAATACCAGTCAGTTTCTATTTTCTTTTTTGGGGGGGAGATTTAAGGTTTATTTTTGTATGAGTGTAATTTTTAAAATTTTTATTAGGCTTATTCAGTTTTGTTTATGTGTGAATGTAAATGTGTTGCCTGCGTGTATCTATGTGTACCACATGCATGCTTGGTGCCGGTGGAGGTCAGAAGAAGGCGTAGGCTCCCTCAGAAGTAGAGTTATATATAGTTGTTAATCACCATGTGGGTGCTGGGAATCCAACTTGGGTCCTCTGCAAGAGCAGCAAGTGCTCTTAACTGTTGAAGCATCTCTCCAGCCTTGAGCTTTATTTTGTTTTTATTCGTGTGTGTGTGTGTGTGTGTGTGTGTGTGTGTCTGTGTCTGTGTCTGTGTCAGTGTGGCTACCCCAGGAAGCCAGAAGAGGGTGTTGGTCTTCAGGAGTTGGAGTCCCATGGGTTGTGAGCTGCCTGACTTGGGTGCTGAGAACAGAACTCAGGTCCTCTGCAAGAGCAGCAAGCAGTCGTTACTGCTGAGCTGTCTCTCTAGCCCTCATGCAAGCTGCTTCTCTACACGATCTAACCACTGGCAAGTTTTGCTTCTCACATCCAGATGTTGACTTGGCTCTGTTATTCTGAGCATGGTTCACACGGCTTTTGTAATGGGAACACTCAGGACACACACCTACGATCCAAACACTTGGGAGGCAGAAGCAGAAGGACCTCAAGTTCAAAGCCAGCTCTGGGATTCAGTAACAGTGAGGCACTGTTTCAAAAACACAAAAACCAACCAACCAAACAAACAAAAATCCAACAAATAAACTGAAGAAATAAACCACAGCAAAACCAAATCAAAAGAGGAACAAAGAAAACAAACCCCACAAAGGAAACATTCAAGGCTAAGTTAATAAGAAAGGGAAAGGGTTGGAGAGATGGCTCAGTGGTTAAGAGTACTGGATGCTCTTGTAGAGGATCTGGATTCAATTCCCGGTGGCCATATTGTGGTTCACAACTGTCTGTAACTCTAGTTCCAGGGAATCCAGTGCCAATTCCCCGTCTGGCCTCCACAGGCATCAGACACACGTATGGCACATGTACATATATCATATGCAGACAAAGCCCCCATCCACATAAAGGGAGAGCTGGAAGTGGTCTCCTCCCCAAATCCTCTTCCCAGTTCCTTCCCACTTCCCTCCGTGGAGACATACCTAGCATCTGTCCCAGGTACTCCCCTCCTACATCAGAGAATTGGTTGTGACTGAGGTTCAGTGACTTAATTCGGTAATTGGACTAAAGGAACAAATTGTAGAGAGGTTAATTTTCTTCCACTTATTTAACTTGAGACGGGAATATCACTATACAGTTAGTACAGGCGGGCCTTGAACTCTCCATCCTTCTCCCTCAGCCTCCTGAGTTCTGGGATTACAAACATGGGCTGTCATGCCCAAACAAGGGGTTGCTTTTGCCTTTTGATCGAATATCTTTCAGTTAACCTTGAGGCAGAATGATAGAGGGCTCCTAGGTACCTGAGACTGGATGGGCTAGTGTTGGTGAACAAATGCTTTCCTATACATAAGAAAACAAAAACAAACAAAAAACCTTAACTGTTAACGGTTTCTTGGAGAATTATTGCTATCCAGAAAGTTCTATTACTTGCTGAAGTTTTTTCAGGGAACAAACATGCTTTCTTTGCCCAGAGTGTCACCCAGGCCACCCAGAATTCTCAAGGGACATTCTCACATGCTCCTTACCGACAGGGCTTGGCATAAAAGGGCAGCAGCTTCCTCTTTGAAGTTGTTTCCTGCAGTGAGGGTGATTTATTAGCAATGCACTCCAGACCATCCATGCTCCCTTGCCTTCCCATATCGGGAAGCAGTCCCCCTGGTCCCCCCTCCCCGCCCCCTGCCCCGCACACATTCAAGATGAAGCACTTAAAGCAAATAGGTAGACACAGGAATGGGGGAAACTGTTGGCCATCTCCTTCCTTCTCTCCCACATCAAATATGAATATTCTTAGTGTAGTAAGAATGCCTAACACTGGAGAGATGGCTCAGCGGTTAAGAGCACTGACTGTTTTCCCAGAGGACCCGGGGTTCATTTCCCAGTATGGTAGCTTGCAGCCATCTGTGGCTCTAGTTCCAGGGGATCCGACACCCTCTTCTGGATTCCATGGGCACCAGGCACACCCATGGTGCACAGGCATACATGCAGGCAAAACACCCCCACACAAATACAAATTTAAAAAATAAAAAAAGAGGGCCCGACAATCATTTAGAACCCCCCACCTAGCAACTGACATTTCATAGAAGAGGAAATAAATGAAGCGACAAGTATCTGAAAAGATGCTGTACGTCAATGTGATTGCTGGTGAATACCCCAGCTTGGTGCTCTGGGCGCTTTAGATTGCAATTCATTTTGTCTCCAGGATCACTGTCTAAGCTGAGTTATGTAGCTGTTCTTGGTTTATGCATGAGGAGTGCGAGGTTAACTGAGTGAAAGGGTGAGCAGGTGTCAAAGCTGGGATTCAGGTCCATGCGTTGTGACCTCAACACCTACACATTTAACCATTGGTTCACAGATACCTTGGTAAATACCCTTCTATAGCAGAATAGGGTGACAGTCCATTGATAGAATTGTAACCTGCTCTAGGTTTTTTAAGGGACAATACAGAAGTTAAATGTGAATTTCACTAAGGTGGATATATCTACTCATTACACCCTAGGGTGTCCATCTAGATATATTGGAATATGTGCCCAAAAGGTGTGCATGCAAGAAAGTCCCCGGGAACACTAGTGGAGAGGTTGAAAATCTGGGCAGGACCTGTCACTGTCCCTTCAGTACCCGGGTGTTAATAAAATATGCTGTCCCCCTACAACATGGAGTATATTCAGAGAATGAGATAAGTCTACTTGTCCTGTCACAGGGGAACCATGTTTAGAGGGGAGCAAGTGAAGCTGAGAGGAACAGCGGATGTTTATATTCAAAAGAAGTATTCTGTCTTTTTCTGAATACTTTTAAAATACAGATTTTTAAAAAAATTTCTGAGACACGGTTGCTCTGTGTAACAGCCCTGGCTGTCCTGGGACTTGCTTTGTAGACCAGGCTGGCCTCGAACTCACAGAGCTCCGCCTGCCTCTACCCTCCCGAGTGCTGAACTAAAGGCGTGCGCCACCACCGCCCGGCAAGATTTTGGTGCTTTAAGACACTTCTTCGTATCTCAAAGGATTTTTTTTTTTGTCCTTCACAAATTCAGGTGTGGATTTCTTTTTTAAAATTTGTTTTGTTATTCTGTGTGTGCATGTACATGTGATTGTGTGTGTGTGTGTGTGTGTGTGTGTGTCCACGTACCTGCGTACGTGGGTGTGTGGAGGCCAGAGGTTGACATCAGTATCTTCCTCCATCGCTCTCCACCTAGCTTTTGGAGAGAGGGCCTCTCTCTGAGCCTAGAGCTGACTACACTAACTAGCAAGCCTCAGGGATCCTCTTGCCTCTGCCTTCCCAGCACTGGATTAGAGGGACACGCCACGGTGCCCAGCTTTCCACACGGGTTTGGAGAAGCAAACGCAGACACTTTACCCGCTAAGCCATCTCCACAGTCCTTGGTGTGTATTTCCTTTTACTTAGCTCTTTTAGGACTTGCTAGGCTTTCCGTGTCTGAGACTTCATCAATTCAGGAAACATGCCAGTGATTTTTGTTGAAATATTTCTGTTTGTTCACCTTCGTCTTTGGAATTCCTACCAGCTATGTTAGGGCTGCTCAATCTTTCATATTCTTTTACCTATGTTTATTTCCTATAATGCAAAGATAAAGTATATTTTTAATACTTCCAGTCACCTGAATATAATATACTATTGAATTTACTTACCAGTGTCCTTTAAAAAGAATTCTTACTACGTGTGTGTAAGTGCACATACGCAGTGCCTAAAGAGGGCATCAGATTATTTTAGCTGAAGTTACAGGTGATTGTGAGCCTCTCTCAACATGGGTGCTGGAAACTACATTCTGGTCCTCTGCGAGAGCGTTGAGTGCCATTAACCACTGAGCTATCTCTTCAGCCCCCACCACTAGCATCTTTCATTTCAGTGGTTGTGTGTGTGTGTGTGTGTGTGTGTGCGTGCACGCGTTTATGAAGGCTGGAGGTTGGATGACTTCCTCTATTATCCTGTGCCTATGTTTGTAGAGTTTGCATCTCTCACAGAGCCTCAGAGCTTGCCATTTTGATTAGGCTGGCTGGAGAGAGCCCCAGATCTGCTCACCGCTTGCTTCCCCCGCCCCCTCTGGAGTTACAGATCACACTGTTGGTACCTAGCTTTCCTATGGGTGTTGGGGATTTGAACTCAGGCCCTCATGCCTTCTCAGCAGGGACTTTACCCACTGAGTCATCTCCCAATCTTAGGAATTTTCTTCCATAAGGTCATGGTGCTTTATCACAGAAATGGAAATGTAAAGAACACATTGTCTGTGTCTGAGAATTCTATTTCCTGAAACTGCAAGTGTCCACTTTTTAAGTTTTTTTCCTTGTCTGTTTTGTAGTTTTGAACCACCTGGTCTGGGGCTTATGTATGGGGATCCCAAACCAACTGGGTAAAGACTGGTCCTCCAAAGAGGGCCTATTGTTCAGCATAGGACCACTCGTTATATTCATTTCTTGGCATAGAAGTTCCAGAGTCCGGCAGATAGCATAAGTCTGCAAATCCAAGTGAGGGTGTTATCTGGGTACTAGAATTTCCAAGTGACCCTATTCCCCCCAATAACTGATAGGGCATCACTCATTTCAAAGTAGACATGCAATAATCAAGTGGTTAATAAACATTAAGACAACTGGAGAGACAGGACAGAGAGCAATGGCGATAGAGCATTGCTGTCATGATAGGGATCAGAGAAGTCCCTTTAAAAGATGACACAGACTGGAGGCATGAATGAAGCCAGGGAATAAGGCATAGAGCTGGGCAGACCCCGGAAGGTGGAGGTGTACAAGACAAGGGAAGAGTTCTGCAAAGAGAGCTTGCTAAGACGAGGGAAGAGTTCTGCAAAGAGAGCTTGCTAAGACGAGGGAAGAGTTCTGCAAAGAGAGCTTGCTAAGGAAGGCAGGAAGTTGGTGTGGCCCTGGAGGGCAAGACTGTCTGGTCCAGCAAGGGGAAGATGCAACATGTCGTTCTGAGACCAAACATGGGCAGACCCTAGATGGTCTGTTCTCCTCTTCTCTTGTTCCCAGTGCCCTTTCCTCCCCTCTCATTGGCTCACCTGAAAGTTTCAGTTTCCATAGTGAAGAGTTGTTTTCTTGGAGGAAGTCCGAGATGATCCTGGCTCCCTCCAAACCAAGGTTATTGTTAGACATGTTCTGAGAGGTTAGAGCACACACATGCAGGAAAGAATTTTAAAAAGGCCCTCAAAAACAAGGCTACAGGGGCTGTGCAGGTTGACCGGGAGAGATAGGGTGAAAGGGCTAGGATTAAGGTAATGTGAAGGACAGAGAGACGGGAGGCAAGGAAGCTTGTTCCCATTGGCTTCTCTAATGTCTTTCACAGGATTTCATTTTTCCCAATACTGTCTTTAACGACACCCGACTCCTTCAGTTTACCCCCGGGGACTTCAGATAAACATATTGGTGGTTTGTTTTGAAACTCAAGGCAGATTCATTTGGAGGATTTGAAAATGAGCCACCTCACCAGGTCCCTGCTTTGCAAAGACGACAACCCGTTTATGTTAGCCTGGGTAAACCATGCCGTTAGGGGACTTGTATGGTGCAGCCAGAGTTGGCTCTTCAGGTTTCCTCACAGCCACAGGGTACAGTGCCTGAGTCAGCCTTTGAGAAGTTGTGTCTGGGGAGGAGGGTCCCACAGACTGGCTTGAGATAGCCCAAAGCTGACCTGGGCATGGGAGGGTGGGTGGGTGGGGCTCTAGCTTGGCTGGAGTGGTTCTGAGTGCCCAGGTGTGCCTGGAGGAGCCGGGGGAGGTGGGCGCCCTACCAGCTCCTGCAGGTAGTAGTTCTCATGCAGCATCTCCATCAGACTCAAGACTCCCTCCTCCATGATGCAGTTGTCTTCCAGCTCCAGTTTGAGGATCGTCGTGTTGGACTTTGACCGTCACAATGGGAGCGGAAGAGAAACAAGGAGGTGGTTAGTGATGAAGGCGGTTCTCTGTCCACTCTGGTTCAGAGCTTGGCTTTTCTCTAGAACGTCCCAGGCGTGTGAGAGGGTGCTGTGCTAGAGGCCTGGACCCCAGTGTGGTTAAGAGTTAGGGAGACCATGGCTCTGTCGGTAATGTGCTTGCCAGGCAAGCATGAGGACCTGAGTTCTGCTCCTCAGCACCCATGTTCTGTCATGGCGCATGCCTGTAATCCTAGCGCTGGGAAGGAAGGTGGAGACGGAGGACCCTGAGGCTGGCTGGCCAGCCAGTCAAGCTGAATCAGTGACTTCCATGTTCAGTGAATGCGATGGAGAGCAATATGTAACACATAACATATAACACGCTAGTGAGAACTTTGGGACGTGGGGCCCAGGGGCAAAGAAATGACTTAGTGGTTAGGAGTGCCTACTGCTTTTGCAGAGGACCTGAGTTTGATTCTCAGTACCCACGCTGGGCAGCTCACAGCTGCCTGAGCTGCAGCTCCAAGGGGATCTGACTCCTCTGCAGGCATGTGCATTCACATGCTCCCCACCTCTCCGTATACACAGGATTACAAACAAAAATAAATCTCAGAAAACAGGAAGTGTGGCCCAGTGGAAGGGGGTGACCAGCTCTTCCTGCGCGGGCCTCTTCTGGCTTCCTGTCTTATCATTTCATTTCTTCCTCTTATGTTCACTCCCTCCATTGTTAAGCCACGAGGTCCTCACCGGAGCAGGGCCGACGGCGGCCCTTGAACCCAGTCAGCTAAATAAACCTCTTTTCTTCCTGAAGTCGCTAAGCCTCAGGTGTTACAGCAACGGGTAAGGACTGATGTAAAGGCCATGGGGATGTAGACTAGGAATCTGAAGGTGTGTGGGGGGTGAGGAGGGCAGTACAGGGGATGTGCTATCCCTTTAAACCTTGCCAAGAACAATGTTTTCTGCAGGTCCCAGCAGCTTTAGACAGTGGTGCGGTTCTCCTAGTGGACAAGGATGGAACATTGCAAGGCTTTGAAAACTGCCATGAGTTTTGTAGCTTGATAGACATCAAAGCCCAGAGTTACCTTCCCTGTCTGTCATCCTCTGAGGCTGTATCACTCACTGATCTAACGTACCCCACCCTCTTACACCTGTCTCAGAGGTCCAGCTAGCTGTCCCCACGCCCCACAGCCTGTTCCTTACGAACTCACAGCTCTTCTTTCATTCAGGTCCTTTATAAACAGACTGGATTTTTGTTCCTTCTGTGGACAATTGAGACGTTGCTGATTTTTATTTTGAGACAGGGTCTCACTGTATATCCCTGACTGGGTTGGAACTTACTATGTAGACCAGGCTGGCCTTAAACTCATGGAGGTCTGCCTGGGTGTGCCTTCCAAGTGCTGAAATTAAAGGCATTCACTACTTTGAAAAACCTCATTATTTATTATTATTATTATTATTATTATTATTATTATTATTATTATTATTATTATTAGGTTTTCCAAGACAGGGTTTCTTTGTGTAACAGTCCTGCTGACTGTCCTGAAACTCAATCTGTAGATCAGGCTGGCCTTGAACTCACAGAGATCCATCTGCCTCTGCCTCCCAAGTACTGGGATTAAAGGCGTGCGCCATCACTGTCCAGCCCTCTCCACCTTATTCTTGAGAGAGTTTCTCATAAAATCCAGAGCCACTGATTGGCTAGATTCAGGGATTCTCAGGTCTCTGTCCCTCCCGGGCCAGGGTTACAGATGTACACCACAGAACCTGGCTTTTATATGTGTGCTGGGGACCGAACCGAGCTTCTCTTGCCTAAGTGACACACACTTTATCAAGTGAGCCATCTCACTACTATTACTCGGTTTAAAATATCCCCTCCTAAGAACACCTGCCTCTTTACTTTGCTGAGCTTCTTTGAAATCAAATTTTCTCTTTATCTTCTTAAGTGACAGTCAGGGAGGCACTGACATACAGCTGTCAAATTCTCTGTGATGTAGTTAGTTTCATATGTAATCAATTATATAAATCATATATACATATAATTATATAAATTATATAAATTCAAGGTCAAGTCCTTGTTTGGTCATGGCAAGCCAAGAGATAATGTTATTCATGTAAAAATGTTATTTATTCTGCAATATGATTTCTAAAAGTGATAATGTAAAAGGCAGACATTGAATGGAATGGCTCCCATGTACAGCCAATGTTGGCTTTGGAATGAGGACCCAGGTCTACATTTTGTAATTACAGTAACTCTTGGACCTGGTTCTAGTCCATACAGGCTGATGATGCCTTGCTTCTCAATTAGGAAGGGCCACAGTCTTCAAAGTACAGCCTCTTCCATGAACTAATAGAGAAAACAATGGCCAATGACTGAGAAAGGAACCAGGGTAAGTTGCTCTTTAGACACCAAAGAGGGTGCCCTCTGAGCGTCAAGCCAGTTGCCCTGGTAGCCCTCTTCCACCATGTTTGATGTGTACTGCTGGCCAGCATGCTCACCACCAGGGTTATAGCAATGGCCTTGGTACCCTTGGGGCCCAGGCCATGATGGTTGAGGTTCACGTAGGACTCCTCCATGTTCCGGATGAAGTAGGAGGTGGGCACTACGCCCACCAGTTTGCAGGCCTCCAGGTACAGCTCCATCTGTCCAATGGTGAAGAATTTCTCTGGGTCTGTGTAGAAAGCCAGAATGAAATAAGGTTTCTCTTCCAGGCTGCCTTATCCTAGTCACCCTGGGGGATGTGCTATTCTTCCTGGACTTTCCTGGCTTCTGTCCTTGTGGGTATGTCCAGCTGTGGGTGATGATGGGCATACAGGAGAGTGTAACCAAATGTGGGTGGAGGGCACAAGAAAATGGCCACAGTCAAAGGTTTGTGAACTTGTGCGATGACCACAAGTTGATTTACGATCACATGTGTGATAAATGTGTTTCTGGCTGTGCTCACCTATGTGGCATCTCGAATCTTCACCACAGGCTTCATTCTGAACACAGCATGCACACTTAGTACTTTATATGCTGCCAAAACATCTGGGCTGTGCCTCCAGATCCTTCTATGTTATGAATTGAAGTGTTTTTTTTTCTGCACATAAAAGTTTCCTCCTATTTTAAAAACTTGTCTTAGGCAGTGGTGGTGTATGCCTGTAATCCAAGCATTGGAGTGGCAGAGGCAGATGGATCTCTGAGTTTGGGGCCAATCTGAACTATAGAGCGAGTTCCAGAAGAAACCCTGTCTTGAAAAACTAAAAACCCAAAACAAAACAAAAACAAAGAATCAAACAATCCATGTGGCTTAACTATGGAAGACAGAGACTTTCAATATTTCCCTACCATTTGTTCCTCAGCATGTACATATCAAATAAGTACATTTTTGCATCGGATTGGATTATAATAAAATTGTGTTACAGTATAATACAAATATATTTGAATTTTTTGTTTAATTTTGAAACAGGGTCTTTTCTATGCAGCTGCTCTGTCTGTCCTGAAACTCACTATATAGGCCAGGTTGGCCTTGAATGCCCAGAGATCCAACCTAACTCTGACTCATAAGTTCTGGTTTTAAAGGCATGTGACAACATGCCTGGTTAGAATGTTTGATACAAAAAAATTCTGAGTTGCTGACTTGTTGCGGGATATTCAATCAAACTATGAACCCTGAGTTTGCATTTGCGTTAATTAAATAAAATCAACCTTGGGTCAGGAGGCCCAGTTAGCAGAAGCCTAGGAGGCCTAGCTGACAGAAGGTATTCATAGAAAGTCAGATGGTGTCTGGAAGACGACAGACACATAGGCAGTAGTAGGGAGGGACACAGTGTAGCATGTTTTTTTGGGGGACAGGGTAGCAGAAGGATGCTCTCTCTTCGAGATGTCAGCAAAAAGAGGTCAGCTAGTTGCTCTTCAACCTCTCTGAGCTAGTGGGTTTTCACCCCAGCCTCTGACTCCCAAGTCTTATTGATAAGTAGAACGATAGAGATTTAATTAAAAGCTATATTTGGCGATAGTGACAGAGCCCGTGCCTGAGGGAATGGGATTCCCTCCAGGCCACAGCCTGAGTGGCTGGGCCACTGCCAGAGAAGTAGGCTGGTACTATGGAGCCACAATTACTGGCTGAAAGAGCAGCAGATCAAAGCGCAGCCACTGTGCCAACCGAAAAACAACATTGATTCATTTCACAAGAAAATTATTAAATCAGTTTTGGCTTGGGAGTAGAAAACAATGTTCATCAATGACTGAAATGGTTGTGCACATACTTTTACCTCTGTGTGTGTGTGTGTGTGTGTGTGTGTGTGTGTGTGTGTGTGTGTGTATAAATGCACACACACACTCGGTCTTGCCAGAAGTCAACCTCTGTGCTCTTCTGAGGGGACATTCCTCAGGCATTTCCACCTTGTTTTTGAGCAGGGTTTATCCTGTCCTAGGACCTTCTGAATAGGCTAAGCTGTCTGGCCTTTGGGTGAGAGAAATGCCTGTCTCTGCTTGCCGCGCCCGCTGCGCAGCCTGTGTCCGAGAACGTGTGGAGGGTGTCGGGGATTGACAACACAGAGACCAGTGAACGATGTTAAGAAAACTTTAAGCAGGCCCCAAAAAGGCTCAAGAAAACTTTCCAAGAAAGGCTTCCCTCCAGAAAGGCTTCTGCTCCCTGCCTTACCCCCTGGCTGGTTCTGCTCTGATACCAGAGACTGACTTGGGTGGGTCATAAGAGGCGGTTAGTCTTTGGAAAAGGTCAAGGTCAAGGCGTTCTGTGGGCAAGCCCTTTTCAGGAACTTATTGCCCTGGGCATTGTATTGTTTTTAGTAAACATGTTTTTAGTAAACATTGTCTTACAGCTGCCTGGGCCCAGGCTGGTGGGGAAGTGGGTCTCTGGCCAAGGTCTGTTGTCCCCACAATTCCCCCTTTTTTATTTTCTAATGAGACACTCCTGTCTTAGGCCAAGTAGGGTCACCCTCCCTGGCCCATCTCTGGGGGACCTGGCAACCCCTATCTTAGGTGGGAGGTCTCTTCCCCACAGGTTGCCCGTCATCGAAGAACCTCATCCTTAAATCATCTGTAACCAGACTTCATGGCTACCGGGATTGCCATGGGCTAAGCCGAGCAATACTTGGTTACGGATCTCTTGCCTCTGGAACAAGGCACGTTTGAACTCTGCATAAAGCCAGAATGCCTACCGCCACTGCCACCATTTCCAGGACCCCCATTGACATAGCGCCTCTCCATCACCATACCCATCCCCAGATCTGGGCCATAACTTTCTACCAGCCTTCCTCTGTTACAAGGGTAACCCGCATGTGATTTACAGTTACAATTTGATGGTCAAAACAGTGATAAAGTTTACAATCGTTCCAAGATCTACTCAGGAAAGCATTTAGAAAGTGCACTTGCACAGATACATTAGGTACAATCATTCCTGTGCTGTCCCCCGCCTACCAGGAGGAGCAGGTGGTCTAGAATTGAGCATAGCCTTCCTGCTCCCATATTCCAGTGGGACAGAATCCTGGAGGAACCAAATCTCTCCAGTTTCTGAGGAAGCTGGTTGGTCACCCACCTTTCGTCAGAAAGGTAACCTCACCTTCAATTTCCAAGTCGGTTTCTGAATCCTCCCGGGTGGTTTTCTCTTTCTCAACACTTGGAGTGGCTTCGGCTTCGCAGTAGAGGGTGTCATCGCTGTCCTGATGTGCTAACGCAGTTTCAGTCTCATCTGGAAGAGAAACCCCATCCAGTTCTGTGAATGAAACCTGCAGCCCATTGGGTGACACCTTAGGCTGACTCCCAGTAGTCTCTGCCTGCAACCTTTGCCCTGGAGTTTCACCTCGCAGCCCTGCCAGGGAAACCGTCTGTAAGACCTCCATACCGCTGAGTTGGTGGCGTCCTGAGTCCCTTGTCATCGGGCAGCTCCAGTTCCCTTCCATGATCTGCCTGCTTTTGGTGGGGTCCTTGCTCACACTCCCCCCTCATCATTTGCATGGAAGAATTTTGGGGTCTGCTGCTGAGTCTGTTACTCTTTGCGGTGAAAGGATGTGTCCCAAAGCTACTTCCGGGTCACACACTGTGCTTCTGGGAGGCAGGTGCATGGCAGGACAGGTGGGGACTGGGATGGGTTGAGAAAGAAAACAGACCGGATCGGGTCCAGGGAGCAAGGGAGACACTCGGGTTTCTAGGAAGTTGGCCTAGCCTCCCTTCCCTGAGTCCCACTGTTCCTGGGCCTATGAAGAGGGGGCTTGCCGATGTCACCGGAGCTGAAGTTCCTCGCTATAATCATAGCAGGGTCTCCTTCACACTGGCCCTGGGACTTGTTGGATGTGGCTTGTTCACTGGGCCACTGAGTGATGGGATCCTGAAAGCTACACACAAGACTCAGAGATGACACCTGCAGCAGCAGCCTCTGTGGCTCACAACTGTGCTTCCCGAAGGTCTAGCAGACAGGGCCAGTCTACTCCACCCCCTCTCCTGTTGGTGTTATTTATTTTATTCTTTGATAATTTTATACATGGTTACCCATCTCCTCTTTTAGTGAGTTATGTGTTGTGTCCCCCCTCCCTGTTTTCATAATTTGTATTGTAGGATGGTGAACTTGTTAATGATCCCAAGTTGGTGTGTGCCTTCATTTTTGCTCACAGAGCCAGGTCCCAATATTTATCCCCAGGCCTCTGTGACAAGTTTCCATGTGACATGTAGTTTGAGTAGCCCAGTGGTCAGGAAGCATTCAGTTGCTGAGTTGACAGACTGCTGTCCTGTGCTCTGAGTCTCAGTTCCTTTATATGTCAAATAAGAAAAGAAAGGAAGAGAAGAAGTAGGAAGGGAGAGAGAGAGGGAAGGAGGGAGGAAGGAAAGAAAGGAAAGGGAGAAAGGAGAGAAAGAAGAAAATGTGTGTTGGGAGGAGTGCATCGTGTGTGTGCGTGTGCGTGTGTGTGTGTGTGTGTGCGCGCGCGTGTGTGCGTGTGTGTGTGCGTGTGTGTGTGCGTGTGTGTGTGTGTGTGTGTGTGTGTGTGTGTGTGTGTTGTGTGTGTTTGCAGAAGGAGGCCAGAAGAGGGCCTGGAGTTGGCATTACAGGTTACTGTGAGTCCTTAGGAACTAAAGTGCTGATCCATCTCTCCAGCCCCTCAAACAGTTTTAGAATTCCTAGAATTCCACTCCACCAGGGAGATGCTAGCAATTGACAACCATCAGCCAATTCATGTGGTGTAAACAATCCCAATATGGCTGGCTGGTTTCTAACTATCAATGTGATGTCAGCCAGTCTACAAAATGAAAATTGACATTGGCTAGAGCTTGTAAGAGCCAAGTCCAGCACCACAACTCACTATATCTGAGTGGTTTCTAAACCCTGTCGCTAGTGTGACACATCATCTCCATTGCAGAGACTCAGTAGAGGGAGAAGGGCTTTTGGCTCAGGGGTGGGTGGGGTCTACCTGATCACTGGACACTACTGTGGGAAGGGAGAGAGATGGGGGCCTTTTCACCTTTGTTCTCAGACTCAAGAGGCTCATCATAATCATCGTCCATGCTGCCAGGACTCTCTTGGGGGCTTCTTGTCCCCTGGTGGCTGCTTCCCTATGATGCACACCTGCTCATTCAACTCTGTTTCAAACTATGTGCACTGCCCTCTCCAGGGCGGATCCCAAGGGGACCTGAAGCTATTTTTTCATCCCAGCAAGCTTGGAGGAGAGCCAGCTTTGGTGGGAATCCGGCATGTATGGATTTGCCTCCAACTCTGTCTGGGGGAGGTAGCTAGATTTGGGACTCATCGGAGGCAATGGTAGAGCTCTATTCCCCCAGACCCTGGTCAAAAAGGATGCCCACCCACTTATGACTTTGTGACATAAGAGCTACTTCCCTTTTAACTTCAACATTCCATGATCTCATGCAGCCATTGTGATCCTTGAGGGTGGACCTGGCAACGGCAGGCCTCCCGCCCTTTTGGTGGCTCTGGTGGTCACCTTTTCTCATATGTTGGCTGGGTCCAAGCCCAGGCTTGGCTGTGAGTGCTTGGGTGCTGTGGGGGGGCCCTTCAGTGACAGCCTATTTCCTTCTGAGTCAGCACCAAACCCAAGGCTCTTAATCAGGTGACTGTGAAGCGCCGCCACCATGTTTTTCTCCCAAGGTGGCTGCGCTTCAGGTACAAAGTATTTCAGTGATGGGTGAAGTCAGATTTCTTCTGCCCAGTTCTTTTTTGCTTGCACCCTTGGGAGAGCATCTTCAACCTTGGAGCAGAAGGACAAAAGCAAAGCACCACAAAGCATATGTTCTGTCACTGCGGCTTGTTGCTGTCACAGCATTGTTCAAGCCAAATTGCCAGGTTGTTTAACTTGAGGCCGGCATTCCCACGCTCTGCCGGGGTTCCCACGCTCAGCCAGGATTCCCACGCTCAGCTGTGTTCACATGAGGAGCTGACGTTTACTTGCAGTGTGGTGTCAGGAGGACCCGAGGGCTTGTCTGCTGCTCCTTGATTAAGACCGGGGCATCAACAGGTCAGTGGCTGGAAGATGGGGAGGGTGGGTGAAAGTTTTCTTTTTTTGTTGTTGACAAGATGAAGATCTAGAAATCTGGCTTGGGAAAACAGAGTTATGGCTGTGTACGTGTAGGCAAGAGGACCGCTCGTCAGTTCTCTTCTTCTAAGATGTCTACGGGGCACACTTCTTGTTTCTGTGTTATGTGCTATGCCGTACTCTGTCCCGGATGGCTGGTCCATGAGACAGGGCAATTCTCCCACAGGAGGGCTGGAGTTACAGACGCGCACCACCGCAGCTGCATGGAACTCAGGCCATTGGGCTTTTGAGCTAGCCTTTGCATGAGGTAGAGAGTCATTGCACATGTGGCATGTCCGATTGTCTCAGCACAGCCATCGAAAGGTCTCCTCTCTCCTCACTTGTGTTTTCATCATTTTCATTCATTGTTGAAATTGTGTCCTTTTTGTTTTGTGTCACAACCAACCAGGGCTGGTGGCACTTGCCTGTCATCCCCATACCCAGGACGCAGAGCTGGGAGGATCACAAGTTTAAGGCCAGGTTGGACTATAGTTTCAAACAAACACCAAACCTCTGGATGCTGCAATGTCCCATCGAATTAAACCACGGTGCTTTGAAATGACTAGTTTGTGAGACAGTGCCCTACAGTGCTCGGAGGTGGGCCTGAGGGCACCCGGGAGGTGAGCTAACCCTGCCGTCAATTCAAAGAGTAGGGTGCTGTGATTTCAGAATAAGCAGAGAGGATCACTTTCTAGGGCAAGATGTCAGATACCAAGAGGATGATAATCGCGTCATGAAGATGACTCTGGCTAATAACTCTTGCCACCAAGCCTGATGGAACTAAGTTAGATCCCTGGGACCCACATGGTGGGAGGAGAGAATGGAATCCTGAAAGATGTGCTTTGATTTCTATGTGTGTGCTATGGCACTATCCTTACCACAAACACACAAACAAAAAGAAGAGGATAACCTTCACTCCCCTCCCCCTCCCCTCTACCTCTGTGTGCCCTCACATGTGCATGCAGAGGGCAGAGTGGGAACTTCAGGAATCTTCCTCTATTGCCCTCCATTTTATTTTATTTTATGAGTGTATGTCTGCATGTATGTCTATGCATGCATTGCTTGCATGCCTGGGTAGGGCAGGCATGAAAAGGCCAGAAGAGGGCACTGGATCTTTTGGAACTGGAGTTACAGATCCATGCCTTATTGGGGTTGGGAATTGAACCTGGGTCCTCCGAAAGAGCAGCCAGTGCTCTTAACTACTGAGCAATCTTCCCAGGCACCACTGTTGTTGTTGTTTGCTTGTTTGTTTTGGCAGTAATCTTAAACTTGATGGTTTGTTTTGTTCCGGGCTAGACTGGCCGGCCAGCAAGCTCCCAGGGCCAGTCTTCCGACATTGGGGTTACAGGCGTGTGTGGCCATGCCTGGTTTTCATGTGGATGATTGGGGCTAGAGCTCAGGGCCTTTTGCTTTTACAGTAAGTACTTGTGATGGATATTCTTGGCTGTCAGCTTGACTACGTCTGGAATAGCCAACACAAGTATAAAAAGCACAAGTCACTGGGTAGACCTGTGAGGGATTTTCAGTGAATTCCAGATGTAGTCAAATTGACAACCAAGAATGGCCATCCCAGGACTCTTAATGGAGACATCCCCCAATCCCAATTTCCTTATTCATTACCAGGGTTTCTGCTCACCAGTGAGATTTAAAGCAGGGGGAGTCCTTTGTGTCCTATGTGCTAACATTTATATAGCCCGATAAGCTTCACACTCTGCTCCATGGACTTTAGATGACTTCATGCGTTTCAGCTGCTCAACTTCTCAGTTATCCCTATTTTGTAGATGAGGAGACTGACAGAAGGATTCAGTAACTGGTCCAAGGTCACAAAGCTAGTAGGTGACCAAGTGGGGATATAAGTGGACTCTGTCTGGCTTCAGAGCCCATGCTGCCTCTTCAGTGACTTCTGTGTTTCAATAAAACAAGGTTGTTTCTCTCTGGAGCAACTGCAGTTCTTGGTTGAGAAAGGTTGCACTCAAATGATGTATTGCAGCACTGGCGAACTATGTAGTCCAGACCATGCTTGTTTTTATAAAGTAGTGGTTCTCAACCTTCCCAGTGCTGCGATTCCTTAATGCAGTTCCTCATGTTGTGGTGACCCTCAACCATAAAATTATTACCATGATGGAGCCTCCTAAGTACTGGGTTACAAATGTGTGCAATCATGTCTGGCTTGGGATTTACTGCTGTTGTTGATGTTGCATGTGTGCATGTGGCCAGAGGTTAATGCTCTACTGCTTTCCATCTTTTTAAAATTTGTGTGTGTGTGTGTGTGTGTATGTGTGTCTATGTGTAGGTTTGTACATGTGAATGCAGTGCCTTTGAAGGACAGAGGAGGGCATCAGATCTTCTGGAGCCAGAATCGCAGATAGCTATGAGGCTCCTGATGTGGGTACTGCAAATCAAGTCCTTGGTTAAGAGCATACAGTGCACTGTATGCTCTTAACCACTGAGCCGTCTCTCCAGGCCCATTCCCACCATTTTTTTATTTATAGTTTTGGATACAGGGTCTCTCACTGAACTCGGAGCTCACTGATTGGCTAGACTGGCTGGCTAGTGACCCCAGGATCCTCCAGCTGGGAACAAAGTTCAAACTAAGGAAGCCCGTCTGCATCCCGACAACCACACAGCTTTGCAGAGAGACTTTTAAGCAGTAGAATGACTCGGTGGGTCTCTCACAGTGGAAAGCGTGCTCTGGCTGCACTATGCTCCATGGAATAAAGCTAGGAAGGCGATCAGCAACTGTTAGGAGTGGATGAAGGGTGAGGGGGATTGATTAGACTCAAAGGAGATCCCACCACTTGGACTCCAGTGAGCTCAGAAATACAAGCAAGAGAGAAGAGGTACACTGTAGGAGCACAGGGTAATTCAGTAAATGACTTTTTAAAAGATAAAGAAACTGGAACAGTGGGTTTGTGGGACAAGATAGGAGGTAATGAGTGCACTTTAAGTGTGTTGTGTCTGTGAGTTATCTCTGGAACATCCATTGAAGAGGATTGCAGGCAGAAGGCTTTGTCTATGGTTCAGGAAATAACCTGGGGAATAAGCAGACATGAGGGCCGTGGATGCTCAATTGGCAGAGGGCTTTGCTAGTATGTAAGTCATGAGTCTCCGGGTTTGAATTCCAGCAATGCAAAAGCTGGGTGTGGTGGCTCCCTCCAGTAATCTCAGCACTTAGGAGGTAGAGGTAGGAGATCCTGAAGCTGAAGGTCATCCTTGGTTACATAGTGAGTTCCAGGCCAGCCTTGGATACGTGAGATCTTGTCACAAAATGAATGAATGAGCAACTGAATCCTCTGCTCCACAAAAAACCCTCCACAAGTGTGAGAGCTGTCTTTTACAAATGGAATTTGAAGCTATTAAAGTGGTAGATATTTCTCGAAGGAGAGACTGTGGGGTAGGAGAAAAGAGGCTGAAGGTGGAGTCCCAGGCACAGCACCAGTGAAAGAAGGGCGCTCAGAGGGACAGAGTGAAGGCGGGAGGACGGAATGGCCACAGAGACAGAAGAACAGACATTGGAGGAGCCAAGGTGGGAAAGCGTGGGAAGTCACTTCATAGCCGGGAACCAACGAGGCCTGGGATGTGTCCTTTTACAGCTCTCCAGTGTCCTCAACCGGGAGTGGAAGGCTCAGTGGAGTGATGGAAGCTGTATTTCTGAGACATGCGTGCATCTGAGAGGTTAACAAGTACAGACAGCAGAGCCGGCTATGGAGGAGAGACGGAAAGGCAGAGGGATAGCCAGAGGGGGACCGAAGTGTCACAGTGTAGTAATGACTGAATACGCCTAAGCATTGATGTGCACACTCAGTGGAAAAGGGGTGTGCACGCTGTGTCTGGGAGGAGGGGTTAGCAGCCCTGAGCTTGGCAGAAGGGCCAGCCACTGTGTTGGAGGCAAGGGGGAAATGTGGCTCAGGATCTTGTTTCACATACTGGTGATAGCGTGGAGGAGTTTATTCTCGGTGGCTCTACTTCTCAAAAGTTGATGGGGAGCTGGTCTCCTAAGGTGGAAAGTCAGAGGACAGACATGAGAAGCTGACAAACATTGAACTTGAGACATGTCTAATGGAAACCAGGTTTCATGACTCAGAGCCTGAAAGAGTGAATACATGCACTAACACTAATTTGGATCATTTTGGGAATATCTAGTCATTAATTCTGAGATGCTGGAGGGAACACTAGGCTCAGAGAAGCGGTTCTTTTTTTTTTTTGTTGTGACAGGGTTTCTCTGTTTAGCCCTGGCTTCCCTGGAACCTGCTTTGTAGACTAGGCTGGTCTCC